ACGGGCGCCTTTTTTGCTGCAGTTTTTATACCCGTGCCTGCCTTAAAGGTTTTCTGTCTACAAGCAGCCATAGTCATGTGCTTTAACTTGGCTGCTGCTTTAGTAGTATTCCCCGCCATGATTTCTTTGGATTTAAGAAGACGTACTGCCGGCAGGGCTGATATTTTCTGTTGCTGCTTTCCCATTTGGAAGGAGAAACCGGTTAATCAACTAACGCAGCTAAACAATAATGCCACAAGAACCACCAATCGTGCGCGCAACACCTCCAGCTCCTCCTCCGTCCTACCCAAAACCAGCAATAATACCCGAACATCTGCCATAAACAATCCAGTGCTACCGCAAGAAGAGGCTTTACTCACATGTCACAGTGAAAAACGTTTACCCGCCTTTACCTTCAGTAAATTTGCCGTTAAATATTATACACCCTTCCTGATGAAAAGTTGGGTTAAGTTCCTCGTAGTCATGTCTTTTGTGGGCACGGTTATTTTTAGCTTATACTGCTCCACTAAACTGCAGGATGGTTTGGATTTGATTGATTTGGTGCCGAAAGAAACGAATGAATATAAGTTTCTTAATGCCCAAACATCGATGTTTGGTTTCTACAGCATGTATGCCGTGACACAGGGTAATTTTGAGTATCCCAACAATCAACGTTTGTTGCATGAATATCATGAGGCTTTTGTTCGCGTGCCGCATGTAATTAAGAATGACAATGGTGGCCTGCCGGACTTTTGGTTATCTCTATTCCGTGATTGGCTAAGGAATCTGCAGAGAATCTTCGATCGTGAGTTTAAAGATGGTCGTATTAATCAGGAGGGTTGGCATGCCAATGCTTCTAGTGATGCCATCTTGGCTTATAAGCTGTTGGTGCAGACAGGTTATGTGGACAATCCTGTGGATAAGAAGCTGGTGTTGCAACATCGTTTAGTTGACAATGAGGGTATAATTAATCCCAGGGCTTTTTACAACTATCTCTCGGCCTGGGCTACCAATGATGTTTTTGCTTATGGTGCTTCTCAGGTTTGTAGTTAGTTTTTGTGTAAAATAAGCAACTATTTCCTAATTTTCTTTTCAACTTTTTTTAGGGTAAATTACATCCCGAACCTAGACAGTATTATCATGTACCCACCGAATATGATTTGAAAATACCCAAATCATTGCCTTTGGTCTATGCTCAGCTGCCGTTTTACTTGCATGGCCTCACCGACACCTCGGAAATTAAGTCTCTAATCAGTCACATAAGAGATTTAAGTGTACGCTTTGAATCCAGGGGTCTACCCAATTATCCTTCAGGTAATTATTTATTTTTTTTTTTAAATCATTGAATCATCTAATAATTCTCAAATTTTCTTTGTTTATTTCTTTAACAGGCATTCCTTTTATATTCTGGGAACAGTATATGACTCTACGCTCTTCGTTGTCTTTGATTTTATGCTGTTGTATGGTGGCCGCTTTTGTTTTAGTCTCCATTTTGTTGCTATCCATTTGGGCGGCCATTTTGGTGGTTTTCAGTGTGTTGGCTTCTTTGACTCAGGTCTTTGGCGCCATGACTTTATTGGGCATTAAATTGTCCGCTTTGCCGGCTGTTATTTTGATCTTAAGTGTGGGCATGATTGTATGTTTTACGGTGCATATTTCATTGGTAAGTTAGATCATACAAATAGTATATAAATAATTTTAAAAAGTCTCGGTCAGTTTAGTCTATAGTCTAGTATATAGTCTAGTCTATAATCTAGTATACAGTCTAAGTCTATAATCTGTTCTATAAAATGTTATTATTTTTCAATTTTTTACTATAAATTTATTTCTTCTATTTCAGGGTTTCATGACTTCCGTGGGCAATCGAGAACGTCGCGTTTTACTCTCCCTTCAAGTTTCCTTGGGACCTCTTACTCATGGTATTTTGACCTCCACTCTGGCGGTATTCATGTTATCCACTTCACCCTTTGAATTTGTCATCAGACATTTCTTTTGGCTGCTCTTGGTAGTACTGTGTGTTGGTGCCTTCAACAGCCTCGTGGTATTTCCCATAATATTAAGTATTATGGGACCTGAGGCAGAACTAGTGCCACTCGAACATCCTGATCGCATCTCCACACCCTCACCACAAATGTCACGTAGCAGTAAAAGGGCCAATAAGACTGTAATTGTACATGGCTCATCAAGATCTTCGTCACGTAATTGTCAGAAACAGCATTATCATCATAAAGATGTTAACATCAATGATCCCTCACTGACAACCATAACAGAAGAGCCACCATCGTGGAAGTCTTCGAATTCATCGATACAAATGAATAATGATTGGGGTAGCAAAATGGCAGCTGGAGGAGGAAATGGTATTAATGCTGGTCATCATTATGGCAATAATATTAATTATGCCAATAACATGAATTATCATCATCATCCACCACCACCAAATATGCAGCAGCAACCACCACCGCCAACTGCAGCACAAACACATCACCTGCATAACCATCAACAACAGCAGCATCATCATCATCCCCACTACAATCCTATGTATGCCACACATCCGCCACCACCACCACAATACCATCATCCCTACCACATGAACACACAACCTGCTTCACAAGGTAATCTAAATAATACAGCACATCAACCACCTCCACCACCCCGTGATCCTGGCAGTGAAGGCAAAAATATGAATAACTTTCCACCCGAATTACAAAGTATTGTTGTACAACCGGAAGTTACGGTTGAAACGCATCATTCAGACACGAATACCACTAAAGTAACGGCTACTGCCAATATTAAAGTGGAATTGGTAACACCGGGTCGGGCGGTTAGAAGTTATAATTTCTCATCATAGCAATGAGCCGCGCATAATATAAGGAAGTTTAGATAATTTTAAATTATTTATTAAATTGCTTAAGGATTATGTATATATTTAGTTTATCGACAGAAAACAAGAAGTTTAAGGAAAACATAAGATTATAGTTAATATAGACCTGAATTTTAAGCCAAAATAGTAACCAAGTAACACACCCACAAAAAAACTAAACAAAATACTTTGTAATTTTTATAATTGTCACAAATTTTCAATAATTTTTCAAAGAAATTATAGCATTTTTAGCATTTTTTAAAGAAAAGGAGACTGATTTAGTTGCTGACAACAAAACTCTTTTATAGAATACTGTAATTTAAAAGAATTTTAAAAGAAAACTTAAAAATTTATTAAAGTTTTCTATTAAATTTTTAATATTTTTAATTGAAAATTTGTAATTTTCATTAAAAAACGTGAGTTTTTAGTAAATTATTAAAAAAATACTTGATTTTTAACGTTTCCTTTGTTTACTTTGAGAGAAAGTAAACAAAGTTGCCATTAAAACCGCCTAAAGTAACATCAATGGCAATGCTGTTATCCTTTTTTAACTGGCGATAAAAACAAAGTTGCCATGTTAAATTATATGACAAAAACGCTAAATTTATTAATAAAACTAAATTGGCAACGCTTTTTTTCTCTCTCTCACAGTATAAATAAAAAAAAATAATACAAAAACTAGGGAAATCCTTATTAATACAGTAAGTTTTGTTTAATTTTAACATTTTTAAGCTGGTTTTAAATGAAAAAACGTAATTTATAAAAGTGTTTTGTTGCTAACTTAATTAACTCAAAGGCTAATTTTAAAAACTTCTTAAAACAACAAATTTTAATACAATTTAGTAAAAAACAAACAAAAACTTGAAAAACTTACAAAATTTATAAAAAAAATCTGTACAATATTATTTAAAACACTAAAAAAATTTGGTCTAACCTTAAAAAAACTATTTATAAAATTTTCTTTAATAACAAAAAATTTTAACTTAATATTTTTTTTTTCTAAAAAACTAATTGTATATAATTTCCTATATTTTAGTTACTAATCAAAAAAAAAACCTAATTTATTTATAGGTTTAATAAACTGTTTTTATTTTTATTTAATTAATTAATTTGCCAATTTATTTAAAAAAAATCTTTAAAAAAAACCTTATAGTATTTTTTTATAATAATATATATAAAATATATTTTTATAAATATAATTTAGTTGAATAAAGAAAAAATGTATTCCTCTTTTTTTAAACTGACTGTATACCAATTATTTACTTATAAATATTATTAATATATTTTATTTAATATATTTTTATTGTTTTTATTTGTATGTATATGTTTTATTTTTTTTTTATTATAATTTTGTTTTAAAGTTAAAATAGTTTTTTAAGTTACTCTACAAATTACAAAAAAAGAAAAAACACATATTTATATAAAATTATTTGTATATTTTTTTTAGAATTTGCTAAACATATTTTTAATTATTGTGTATAGAATTATTAATTTATGTATTATAATATAATTTAAAGCATTTATGTTTTTCTTTTAAAAGAAATTAAAGGAAAAAATTTAATGTGCTACTTGAAAAAGAAAAAAAAATAAAGACTAAATTAATATTAAATATAATAAAAATTAAGAGTTTTTTTTTAATAAAATGTTGGACAGCGGGATTTTGTTTAAAGAAATTTAAAAAAATTTCGATATTATTTTTTATGGAAAATTTGTATTTTTACTTAAAATCTGAATTTTTAGTAAAATTTTGATTTTTTTTAGTGAAATTTGTAATTTTAGGTTTTCGCGAAATTTTGAATATTAGTGAGATTTTGAATTTTAAGTAAAAATTATCTTGATCATTTTTACAGTTTGCTATTATACAAATAAGGCACAGAAAATACAGAAAATTTTATTAAACGAACACTTTTCTATACAAAATTTTATTAAAACACACTTATCTATAGGAAAGTTTCGAAATATCTGCTTCCGTGAATTTTTCTCTATTATTTTTTTTTAACACATAAATAACCGTTTTTAATGATAATTTTAAAATAACCGAAAATGTAGCTGTTTACTCTGCCATCTGCAGTTTATTTCTATTAATATGACAAGCAAACTAGTCTGGCAACTATATGTTTTTACTCTCAATTCAAATTTTTACATCTGGTGGCACAAAAAAGATAACAACACAGTAATAAGAAGAAGCATTGTATTTTTTATGTTTTCTCGCAATATTCTCTTGTTTTTATGTGAAAATTAAACTAAAATTAAGAAAATAATTAATAAAATCCGGTAAAAAATGCCCGAAGAATCAAAAGAAAGTAAAGCCAAGAAATTGGCAGCAGCTAGGAAAAAGGTAAATCTCAAAAACCTGTAAATACAGGAATAAAACAATACTTTTTCTTCCATGGCCTTAACAAATGACACGTCACTTGGGGTGGCAGGCAGCAGGCATACAAGAAAAAACAAACAATTATTGATTTATTAAAAACTAATAACTATTAACATATGTTTTTTGTTTAATTCAAACAGTTAAAAGAATATCAGCAACGTGGCACAGGCTCCGGCATACAGACAACTGGTTCTTATGCATATGCAGATTCTGCTACCAATAGTGGTCATGTTAGCAGTAATATTTCGGAGAGATCTGAATCAGAACTACAACTAAATGGTAGTGTTAACGATATAGCCCAAACGGAAAGTGTAAATGAAGTAGAAACCACAAATATTCAACAAAAAGAAGAACATTTACCAATGGAAAATGTCAATTATTTTGCTATGGAACAGCCCATAGTTAAGGCCGAAGAAAATGAAGCCGACAATAGTATTAAGCCTTCCACAATGAACGAGGAAACCTTTCCCGAGGGCTCACAAAACATAAATGCCATACAAGTTCTGATAACCGAAAAGTCTCAACTGACCATGGAGTTAAACAGATTTCGTACTCTATGTCGTGAAAAAGACCTGGAAATGGAGGAACTAAGGGTACAGCACAACAATGCTGCCAAGCGTGTTGAAGAGCTAACACAACGTCAGGTGGATATACAAAAACAACAAGAACAGCAAAGATTACACAATGCTGAGCTGCAGCATAAATTGGCACAAGCTAGAGCTGCCCAGGAGGACAACGCACAACACATCAATGAACTGCAACAGCAGTTAACGTTACGCGATGAACGCCTTAAACAATTGGAATCGGATTTCAAAGAAAAATCCAATGAATTGGAAATGAGTCAATTGCGCATACGCCAGCTGTCCGACGAAAATAATATAACCAAAGATAATCGTGTCGAGTCTTTAACACAAACCCAATTTATGTATGAACAACAAATTCGAGATTTACAGGCTATGGTGCAACAGCTAACACAGGATAAAGAACAGGCCAACACCCAGTATCAGACTTATGTCCAACAGTTAAATGCACAAATTCAACAATTGACCGAACGTAATAATGAACTGATGGATGAGTCTAGCAAATTGCAGGAAAGGGAAAAGCAATGGGTTGATCATATTCAGCAAATGGAAAAGGAAATACAAAAGAATATTAGCAGGCAGGCGGAAGTTAAGGAGGAAAAAGAAAAGGTAAGTTTTGAAAAAACCGAACAACTAAGCCTCTAGGAAAACAGTTTTATGTAAAAAACTATATTCGAATCCGATTTCGAAAATTCGATATTAATTTTTCACTTTTTTCCAGATTTCCTCCCCTGACGTTTCTCCTGCAAACGAACAGCAATTGAAAACCTTACAAGAACGACTCGATGAATTCGATTCCGAACGTTATGAATTTCAATTGAAAATTAAATCACAAGAAGATCGTTTAGCCAGCCTACAGCAGGAGCTAAAGCAAAAAGATATTGAACTGGAACAACTGAGAGAACATTTGGAAAATGTAACCTCCGAACAGCCAGATAAAACAAAACTATTAGCCACCATGGAATCAGATAAAGTGGCTGCCTCACGTGCCCTTTCGCAAAATGTCGAATTGAAAAAACAATTAGATGAACTAGAATTGCGTTTTGTACAATTGACTAATGATAAGGCTGACCTTATGACACGTTTAGATTCGGAACAATATACAAATCGTGAAATGCACACAAATTATGCCGCCATGGAGGAACGTTTAAGGACCATCGATGAACGTTTTAAATTCAAAGATGAGGAAATGATAAGACTTTCACATGAAAATGAAGAATTGAAAAAGAAATTGGAGAATAAAAAGGTAGGAAAAGAATTCTTTATTTTCTTAATTTTTTATTAAAATTGTTGATTTGTACAGATTTATAATAACGAAGAAGAAAACGAACGATATGAGCATGATCATCATGATCATGAGCATCATGATGAACATGATCATGGACATCATGATCACGGCGATCATGATCATGGCAATCATGGACATAATCACGGTCATGATGATCAAGGAAATAAAAAACATGATCAAGATCATGAAAATCATAAACATAATCACGATCATGATCATCATAAACATGATCACAATCATGATCATAGTAAACATGATTACAGTGAAGAACATAAACATGAGCATGATTGCCATGATCATCATCATCATGAGCACGCCGATCATGATCGCGCTGATCATGAATCTTGTCAAGAAGCTACCGAAGAGAACATTACTAACACGACCCTACAACAAACCCCTATAACCCATAAAAAGCCAGTCCAACCAACAACTGGCCACACAACAACTCCTCGCATTGCCACCGAGGAAGCTGTTGAAAAGCTACAACAACGTTTTACCCAACTAATGACCCAATGTGCAGACCTAACCGAAGAAAAACAACGGCTAGAACATTTAGTCATGCAATTGCAATCGGAAACCGAAACAATAGGCGAATATATTGCTCTGTATCAGACCCAGAGACGTATACTAAAACAACGTGAATATGAGAAGGCCGCTCAGACTGCCATGCTTCAGGCAGAACGTGAACAAATGCGTGAACGTTTAACTATGCTTAATAATTTGGTCAATAGTTTAGGTATGGAATTGCCACAAAAACAACACTTGAAACAACAAATCAATGAAGCCTTAACACAACAAAATGCCATAAATATAAACACTACGTATAGCCCAAACATTGAGAATAATACTATAGATTCTTCAGAATCTTCTTCTCCTCTAAATCAAACGACAACAGCAGCAACAACAGCAAAAGATTTAAATTCCCCTGAATCTCAACAGATTCTACACAAAATACAAGATATAATAACGGAAATTAAGGAAAATACCAAAGAATTACCCACCATATCACATTCGGTGGATCATTTAAATTGTTGTTCGGGTAAATTTGAGGTGGTTTAATAATGTATCTCGTCTTCTCTTTAGATAGAGTTGGATAGGATGATATTGCTAATATAATTAGATTAATAGTTTGGCTTTTTTTTTAAGAATAATTACATTCTTGTGTAAATATTTAGAATTTGTACAACAAAACTAAACGTAAACCTAAACTAGGGGACAGAAAATAATAAATTTATTTAATAATATTATGCTTTTTTAAACAAAATAAACAAAGCATATAATGGCATCAATTAAAACGAATTCTTTTACAAATAACAAAAACTATAAGTTGATTTTTGTTTTCAATAACATAAATAAAGCCATTTATTGGAAGCAACTATTCCAAAATAGTTTTAATATTTGGAATTTTGAAGAAATCGAACTTTATTTAAGTAATTTTAAGCTTTTTTTTAAATTCAAACTAGAAAACGAAAATTCGAGCACAATTTTAGAAATTCGAACTTTATCTTGTAAATTGGGTTTTTTTTTTCTCTCGAATTCGATATTTATTAGTGATTTAACCATAATTTCTTAATTAAAAACAAAAATATCTTCAACATTTCGTATTTTTCTTTTATTTTTATTTAAATACTAAATACAAACAATTTAAACTAGTTAGTAAAATTAAAAAATTAAACGCATTTCTATAGAAAACTGTCTAAAGAATAGAATTAAAAAAAAAATCGTTATTATTAAAAACGAAACTAAATGTTAAACCTTTATTTTTTGGTATCCGATTTCTTTGTGGATTTACCCATTGATTTCACTTTGGATTTACCCAATGATTTTGCTTTACTTTCATTTCTTAATTTTACTCCTATTTTTGGCTCAGCCAAATCTTTTGGTTTACACTGACGCGAAGGACGACGTGTAGAACAATCACTAGTTGTTGACCCCGATTCAGATTCTGTTGCTGCTTGGTTGGTAGTTATAGTAGATGGTTTTGCTGGTTTGCGAAATGAATTGCGGCGTGAATTTGGTGTGCTACAGGCAGCATCTTTGAAATTTCCTAACGTCATATCCGTATAATCTAAAGAAATCAAAAAAAGAGATTAGAATATTTTAGAAAATATCTTGAAATACATGTTCCGAAATCGCATTTCTATAGAAAATATTATAAAGAAGAAAATATCACTTTTCTATGGAAAACTGTATAAAGAAGGTGCTTTTCTATAGAAAACTGTATAAAGAATACACTTTTGTATAGAAAACTGTATAAAGAATACACTTTTGTATAGAAAACTGTATAAAGAAGACACTTTTGTATAGAAAACTGTATAAAGAATACACTTTTGTATAGAAAACTGTATAAAGAAGACACTTTTCTATACAAAACTGTATAATGAAGACACTTTTCTATAGAAAACTGTATAATCAAGACACTTTTCTATAGAAATCTGTAAAAAGAAAACATGTTCCTATAGACAAGTAAAAAAGGTTGTTTCCTGTGTTTAAGTACTTTTCTATAGGAGCAATATCTAATCAAATGATTTTTATAAACCCTTAGATTTACCGTCCTCCGCAGACAGATCAAATGCCTGTGTTATGGGTATAGATTTATTTCTCAATGATATATGTCTAACATCACAATTTCTTGGCTCCTGTAAGGTTTCTGACTGATCTGCTGAACGTGTGTAATGTAGTGCCGCCCTATCACCTCTGTCTGTTACAGTTGATTCCATTTCAGAATCTGTTGTATTTTCTTGATCAAATGAATTTTTATTAGTTTTATTCTTTCTAGGTCGTCCTCTTTTACGTATAGTTTTATGAGGAGAATTATTATCTTTACTGGAGTTTTGTGTTGTTGAGACTAACACCATGTTTGTAACATCTTTAAGTGTGGAACGTCTAGTAGTTGAGATGGTGTTGTCAGCAACCGTAATTTCTTCCACACTTTCATACATAGACTCAATATTGTTTTCATCATCAGTCAGTTCTTCTGGATTGTTATCTTCTTCTTCGGTCTCCTCCGAATCTTCATAAATAATATTAAGTGGTTCTTCTTCTGCTTGTTCTTCTTCATCTTCATTGAGGTTTTCTGTAACTTCTGGTTCTGTTGGCTCTTTTTCGGCAATAGTTTGGCTTTCCTCAACATTTTCAACTTCTTCTTCCTCATTAGGCTCCTCCACTTCTTCTTCCTCCCTTGAGCTATTGCTACTTCTTCGTATAGGTGAAGTACTACATACCGATTTACGTGAGTTTAAAATAGAATTTGATCGTTGAAATTCTGCTGTTAATTGTGAGCTACGTCTACGTGATGATCCTGTAGATCTTTCCCCACTATCTGAGGATATTCTAGATATTCGAGGTGTCCTACTCGTTGTCAGCGTCCTAGAAGTTGTAACTTGTCTTTCCCTTGACGGCACATACTTCTGTAGTACGGGCAAAATATCACTATCCGGCTGTACAGTCTGTATTAGATGTATAAAATTTTCAACAGCCCAATTGTAACACTCTTTCCGTAAAATCACACTGCTTTCATGTTTTTCCATTAGTTCTCCTTTTAACTGGATAATTTCATCACAATATAACTTCATGTTTATACGCATAGTTTGTACTTGCTCGATGAGCTCTTTATTTAAATCGCGGTAGTAGCTCATTTCGTGGCAGCTATTACTTTGTTTGTTTATAAAAATTTATTAGACAATAAGATTTCTTTAATAATAAATAATTTTTACAATAAAAGACGCGTTCCTACTTGGTATTTTTTCACTTTTCAAAATGAAAAACAAAAATGCTGTAGCAAACTGTTTTATCTACGGTCACTGTCTTATCAACAAAACAGGGTTGTATTTTGAAGGTATTATTACAAGAAAGCATTAAAGAAGCGATTTTATTATAGAAAACTGTTTAAATAAGACATTTTACAATAGAAAAACAACTGAAAAGACATTTTCTATAGAAAAGTTTCTAAATAACAAAAGTTTATTTTAAGAAACCATAAAAAAAACATTTTTATAATAAAGCATTTGAACTATGTACAGAAGATAGTTTTCTACAGAAAAAATTTTAAAGAAAACACAGTCTATCGGAAACTAGCAAAAGAAGAAATTAAATATACTATATATAAAGATTTTAAATTAAAGAAAACACTTCTATATAAAAAAACAATAAAAAATAAAAATTTTTATCGTATTTTTAAACAAACACTTCTACAACACTGTTAATTTGACAGTTTCCTTTGACGATTCGGCTTATAACCAACTAAGCCTAGCCGTCAATAAAATTTAAAAATCGCCGTTAAAAATGTTTCTTTAGAAAATTTCGAGAATTGTAAATAAAACAAAAATTATTATTTTTCAAAAATATTCTTTTATTATGCTGCGTTTTGATGTTGTTATAACATTTCAATATATATGGTATTGCATGTGTCTCTATGCGAATTGTTTATGTATTTCAAAAGTGCTGAAAACTGAAGCCGGCTTAGCTCATGTAAAATCGCCGCTGAAGTTTTCAGTGCCATACGCCGGCATTATTGTTTGTCGGCACAGGTCTCTCTTGAGTATTGCGAATTTTCACTTCGTTTTGTTTCGTTGTTCAAGAAAGGTGGTTAACAAGGAAAAAACGCGCAAATGTTTTTACAATTTTTTCGAAGAAAATATATGTAAAAATTGTAAAACCAATTTATAAATAAAAGTAAACGATTAACAATTAATAAACGCTATCTAAAAGTAATAATAAAATTAACTAACGAGCGTATAAATATAAAAAACCAGAGTGTGAGTGTTTTAAGTGGAATGTGTGTGGATGAGTAAGAAAAAAAAAAAAAAAGAAATGAACTGAAAAAGAAGTTGGAATTACAGAAAAGAAGTGTAACCAGAAGATTAAGTTGGAAAAGACGAGATTTATCAAAAATTATTATAAAAATTCATAAAATTTTACATTTATTGAATATTTTTTGCAAAATTTTTGTTTCTTTGACAAAATTTTAGTTAAATTTTTTCATATGCTACTCTTGTGACTTTTTCTTTTGGTTTACACTCTTCTTTTTTTGTCATTCTTTTAGCAGCAACTTTTTTCTGCTCTGTTATCTGGACTTCCTTTTTGCTTGTTTTCTTTTCTTTTGAACAAAAAAGTTTTATCAAAATTATTATTTTTAATGTGTTTTGTGTGTTACTTTTGAAATTATAAAAATATAATAATTTAATTTAACTAAAAATAATTTTTTCTTAGTATTTAACGAAATTGTAAAACAAAGTACTAGAAATCGAAAAAAAGAAGACGAATTTTTTTTATTGTGCGTTTAATAATTACAACAATTTGTGTTTGTGTGCTGTCAACACCATCATCATTGTCAAAATTTTGATAATCATCATCAAAAATTAGCATCAACTGAAAAAAAATTCTCAAGGTGAGTTTCTTTTTTTTTATTACTTTCTTTTTCTTTAAAGAATTTATTTATTATTCAAATATCGTTTCAAATTTAGGGTTTTGTAAAAAATTTTTGTTTTGTTGTAATGTGGGCAAGAATTGAAATGAATGCAAAACAATTTGACCCATTTTCATTTGCATCGTATTGTTGTGTTGCGTTTTTTAGGTTAATAATGGATGCATGTAATAAAAATGTTTAAGGATATTTTTGTTTTGTTTTTAATAGAATATGATTGGGGATTAAAAATATTCTGAAAATTGATATTGAAAATAAAATAAATTGAATATAGAAAGATTTCTAATCTTGAAGCTCTAGTTAATATCTATTTTTGTACTAGTTCAGTTTTAGTTCTATTTAGTTCATTTCTAATTCAGGTCTTGTTTAGTTCTAGTTCAGTTCTAGTTTAGTTCAGATCTAGTTCAGTTCTAGTTCTCTACTAGTTCAGTTCTAGTTAAGTTCTATTTCAGTTCTAGTTCTGTTCTAGTTCAGTTCTAGTTCAGTTCTAATTCAGTTCTAATTCAGTTCTAGTTCAGTTCTAGTTCAGTTCTAGTTCAGTTCTAGTTCAGTTCTAGTTCAGTTCTAGTTCAGTTCTAGTTCAGTTCTAGTTCAGTTCTAGTTCAGTTCTAGTTCAGTTCTAGTTCAGTTCTAGTTCAGTTCTAGTTCAGTTCTAGTTCAGTTCTAGTTCAGTTCTAGTTCAGTTCTGGTTCAGTTCTAGTTAAGTTCTAGTTCAGTTCTAGTTCAGTTCTAGTTCAGTTCTACTTCAGTTCTAGTTCAGTTCTAGTTCAGTTCTAGTTCAGTTCTAGTTCAGTTCTAGTTCAGTTCTAGTTCAGTTCTAGTTCAGTTCTAGTTCAGTTCTGGTTCAGTTCTAGTTAAGTTCTAGTTCAGTTCTAGTTCAGTTCTAGTTCAGTTCTAGTTCAGTTCTAGTTCAGTTCTAGTTCAGTTCTACTTCAGTTCTAGTTCAGTTCTAGTTCAGTTCTAGTTCAGTTCTAGTTCAGTTCTAGTTCAGTTCTAGTTCAATTCTAGTTCAGTTCTAGTTCAGTTCCAGTTCAGTTCTAGTTCAGTTCTAATTCAGTTCTAGTTCAGTTCTAGTTCAGTTCTAGTTCAGTTCTAGTTCAGTTCTAGTTCAGTTCTAGTTCAGTTCTAGTTCAGTTCTAGTTCAGTTCTAGTTCAGTTCTAGTTCAGTTCTAGTTCAATTCTAGTTCAGTTCTAATTCAGTTCTAGTTCAATTCTAGTTCAGTTCTAGTTCAATTCTAGTTTAGTTCGGGTTTAATTCTAGATTAGTTCCACTTGGAATCTAGTTAGTTTCTAGGTGAAATCTTTTCTAGTTCTAATTGGAATTTATTTCATTTCTAGTTTAGTTTTAGTTCAGTTTAAGTTCACTATTTTGCAAACATTAACACTTTTTCTAAAATTCTTTTATTTGTTTTTATTATATGAAGTATAATTTTCTCTATTATTCACCATTGTGACTTTTTTTTCATATCTTATCCGCCAAGTTTTAGGTTTGTAAATACAATATTTTTTTTTATATACAATATATAAACGATTTTTTGCTTTAAATGATAAGATAGTAACAAAACTGATTAGGTGTGAGATTGCTGCAAGGGAATTTATTTTAATTTCTATTTGTTTTTATACAAAAATTATGGAAACTACTTGAACTTAACAAAGAGACTTTGCAAAATAATTTGAAAAAATGTTAACTACAAAACAATAGAAATAAATTTTAAATATCATCAAATGCAAACTGAAATTTATTAATAAATTTTAATAAATTTCTTTTTTTTAAGTGCCTTTTTAAATTATAAACAAACAAATCAAGCTATGATCATTTGATTTGTTTTTCACTCCCCCCTACATTGTTTTTGCTTTAGTTGTTTAAAAGTTGCAGTTGTATTTTTCTCGTTTGTTTTACCCCCCTCTGTTAAAAACAACAATGAAACAGCCTACCCACACTCTTGTTTTTGTTTATAGACAATCATTTATGCATATTTAACAGAATAAATTGCCATTTTTTATGTAGTCTTCCGTTTGTTAAATTTAGTTTTGTTTATGGAGAAGTACAAATCATCATAGATTAAAATAGAAAGATTTAATAGATGAATGGAGGTGAAATAAAGCGATGTATGTTGTTAGTAAAGTTGCCAGAGTATTAACAAATTTGATGATTAAATAAAATTATACAATTATTTATTACGAATTTTCTAAAACATGTAAAAGCTTTTAAGGGCTTATAAAAATCTTAAAATAATCAATATATATTCTCAAATTTGGAAACATTGCGTTATGTTTTTGTTCTAATAGTGTCAATTTTAATTTCCTTTTCAAAATGTGTGGTTTAACAAATATACTTTACCCCCCTATGAAATTCATAAAACCTATCCCAACAATTTCTATTTTATACATTTCATTTGTCGATGTTTGTTGGTTTTTTTTCTGTTTCTATGACATTGAACTTTTGTACCTTCTCTCTGCGTTGTTTATCTCATGTGTGTGTGGGAACTTTGACACAATTAACCATAAAAAAAAGATCAACAATAGTGTATAATTGTTATTGTTTTATGCTTTAAAAAGTTAACTTTTTTTTAACCACAACTAATGAACATTTTCAATTGAAATTTAAACTTTTAATATATTTACTTATTTATGCACTAAAATGAAATAAAAAGAAAAAAGGGCTGTTAATTATTTTAGTTTGCACACATTATACAAAGTACAAACACTTTGAATTTATCAACAATTTAATGAGAGCATTTAGAATTTTCAATTAGTTTATGTCATATGACAATTTAGCGTTTTTTTTCAACGAGATTTAGAGTTTTTTATAAACATTAAAACGGGATATAGAATTTTCTATTAGTTATTGTCATATGGCATTTGACAATTTACCGTTTTTTTCGATTAGATTTAGAGTTTTTTAATTGAAAAGTACAATTCTAATTAGTAAGCAACTTTGTTTTAACTACAAAACACTTAAACTAAAGATCAAATTGTATAGTAAAATAAATTTTAATAGTTTCAAGCATTTCTTATAATAACTGGCGATTTTTATCTATAGCTAGTTAGCCACACTGTCCATTTAAATGGTCTTATTGCAACTATTTGTAGTTTTAACGGTTGTCATTATTGTTTATGTTATTTACATTTCCATACAAAAACAAATATTTATTTATGTTTTTGGTACAATATTTATGTGCTGATGATGATGACACCACATGCAGAGCAAAGCTGCATAAAATCACACTATCTCTCACACTCACACAGACAGCAGCATAGAAAACAGAAACTGCGACAAGGCGGCAAATAAATGTGACTACGCGTCGTTGTCGTCGTCAGATGTCATTTGTTTAAAAATGTGTAAATAAACTTTATGTGGGTCATTTGAAAAGAAAAACAAACACAAAACAATACTTCAACATATAAAATCATTAAGAGTCAATGAATTTTTTAAAAGAAGATTAACAATAACAAAATAATATAGAAACAAATCATATAGAATAACCGAAAACAAAAGGTATTTGCAAAAGAATTTTAAGAAAAAAGAAAAAAAAAAAATAACTAAAGTAGTTCAGTAAAATATAATAGGATTTAGGGTGTTAAATTACCGGGTTAAGTTAATTGCATTTTGTTTTCAAAACATAGGAAAGTGTACAACTACTAGATTTAGTTGTTAACTGGCTGGAAGCAGAAATGAAAGTAAAAGTTTTACTTCCTAATGTAAATTGCAATAAAATCTTTTAAGATTTTGCACCACCAGAGTTGCTAGAAAGGTCAGTGAACTTAATAGATTGAAAAGAGTTAAGACTTTTCAAAATTAAGGGTTTAGTAACGAAAATTAGAATTTCTGGTTAGATTTAGAGTTTTTGGTGAATTTTTAGTTAAAATTTTACATTTTGGTAAAAATTTGAATGTTTAAGGAAATATGAATTTTTAGTAAAACTTGAGTTTTAAGTGAAATTAAGATTTTTAGAAAAATTTTAGTTTTTTTTTTTTTTTTGTTAAAATTTTTTTTCTGAAAATTTGCTTTTTATTAACAAAAAGTTTATTTTTTATAAATTTGATATATAAATAAAAATTTTGAAGTTTAGTGACAATTTAAATTTGTAATGAAATTCGCTTAACAAAAATTTGAATTTTTGATGAAAAATTTTAATTTTTTGTTGAAAATTTGAAATATTTAAAAAAAAATTTATATTTCTAGTGAAAATTTGAACTTTTAATAATATTTTCTTAACAGTGTTTTGAAAAAGCTTTTGAAAAACTCTTAAAAAAACAATAGTTTGTCAGTGATGCCACTATATTATTGTCAATAATCGCTAATTTTTTAGCCCCAAAATCAAAAATTTCACAGGTTTAATTTATAAATTTTCAACAATTAAATTGTTTAAGTTAAATCTTAAAAACTATAAATTCTGTTTGATTTCTGATAGATTTCCAACTTGAATATACAATACAATACGTTTCTTAAATCTAAAGAGAAAACATTTCCTTTGTCACATCAACAACTGCCAATTGATTTGACACATAATAGTTAGCTAAATAGGGATTTCCTGGGTTACCATAATAATATTCAGTTTAGGCAGTGAATACATAAATGAATAACTTACCTTGACCATGAAATTTACTCTCTGTACACTTTTTTAAATTAATTAATTTTATTTCCTATAAAATTTTTTTTTTCGTTTTAGATTAGATAAATGATTACAATTATTAGTTTCTTATATTTTCATTAGCTTTTTACAATTTATTAGCCCTTTTTTAATAAAATAAAAAAACATTTTGTACATTTATCACACATTTTACTAAATTGGTGGCTCCCTTTTTAATACATATTTGA